TGGAATGTTATGGTGAAAAAGTGAGGTTATTCAATTTAACAGGAAAATAGAGGAGTTGAATATCATTTCAATAGACGGAAATTGCTGGAAGCTATAGAATAGAGGGATTGGGAGATCCTCAAGCATGAATCAGATAAAGCTAACATCTAACCTCAAAAGATAATGGGAAAGTCAATGGACTGCTGGTCTTTATTTCAAAGATATACAGTATGACAATTGGGAATTCTTGGTAAAAGTAGACACCACATGTAGATTATTGTAAACAATTTCGCCCCTTTCTCTAGAATATATATGCTGGCATTGGAAGCAGTCCAAAAGAGGTTCATTAAAGTTCACTGTGTCTGGAGGGATTTTCTTTTGCAGAGAGGTTGAGTAAGATGTGTTTCTACTTTTTGAAGTTTAGAAAAATGAAAAGCAACTTAATGAACTATGTCGTATTCTTAGGAGCTTTATAGCGTTGCTGCAAAAAGGTTGTTTCCCCTGCTAGAAGAACCTTGTCTTTTCATACCAGAAGGCATCGCCTCTAGAAGAATCTTGCTCTTTTCGTACCAGAAGGCATAATCTCGGAGAAATGGGACGCCCATTTAAGACAGAGATGAGGATTAATTTCTCCCTTCACAGGGAAGTGGAATCTGTGCAATTTGTAAACTGTTGTTAAGGCTGAGTCTTTAAGAATATGCAAGGCCTAGATTGAATTCTTCCTTGGAAGTTTTTTTTTTAATGTTCGCTGCTAACTTTTCAAAACATCAAAGTTTATTACCCATGTGCAATAAATATAAGACAAAATCATATTTGGTACATTATGTTTAATCGTCATAAATTACATTTTTGTAAAATTCACAGCCTGTTCAGTTAGAGCTATTTCCTGAAAATTACATAAGTTGTCAATGTACAGAGATAGTAAGAACTGCCGATGCTGGAGTCAAACATAACATAGTGTGGAGCTGAAGGAACACTGCATCAGAGGAGTAGGAAAGGGTCGGGACCCTTCTTTAGACTCCTCTGATGCTGCCTGGCCTGCTGTGTTCCTCCAGTTCCACACTGCGTTGTTAATATATAGGTTGTTTCGTCATTGAACCTGACATTTGAAAGAAAATCAGTAGTTTTACCAACAATGGGCTTTCAGTTATAAGTTATAAGATGTGCCACGCACAGTAAATTAGGTCTTGTGATACTTCTCAATCTAATGTATACACGCATTAAAGTACCATCATAATAGCGGATAGAACAAAAGGTAGAGGAATATGAAGATATGTATTTACTTTTAAAATTGAAACAAACAAATGCCCGGTTTCATCCTTTCATCACTCCAGTATTGCAATGCGTCGCTATCAGAAGAAAAAGTTCATTGAAGTGATACAAAAGTTGTCTAGAAATACACCAAGTCTGGCAACGTCAGTGGAGAGACAAACAGAATTAAGTAGTCGAGTATGACATCTTCAAAACTGAAAAGAAGCTTGAAAATTCTGTTTTCGTTATGCTAATGACGGCGGTGGCATAAGGTCAAAATAGAAGAGATGGTGTGTATTTTGTTTTATTCACTCACGGGATGTGGGTGCTTCTGAGCTAGGCCAGTATTTATTGCCAACTCTAATTGCCCACAGTGAAGTTAACAGTCAAAATACATTGCTGTTGGCCTGCAGTCATATGTACTCCAGACCAGGTAAGGAAGTCAGGTTACTTCCCTAAAGGGCACTACTGAACCAGATATTTCTTTTTTATCAGAGTAGACAATGGATTCGTGGTCCCCATCAGACTCCCAATTCTAGTTTTTTGTTTTTTTTTAACTTTAATTTCAGAATCTGCCAGGGAAGGTTGTGTACGCTGGTCCCCAAAACAACGGAATCTCTGGATTTGTAGTCTAGTGATGATACAACGAGTCTATTGCCTTCCAGAGTAAAAGACAAAGGTAGTGAAGATCGTAATCAATGGATAATAGACATGGAAAATAAATGCGAACGTTAGTTGTGAGAAGAAGAAAATGAGTCCACTGTGATGAAAGCAGAGCCAACAATACACAAACGAGACACATTCGGAGAACTGGGGATTTAGGAAATTTGTAGTACAGTTGTCATACTCTGAAATATCCCTGACATGTGGAATTGCCAGTACGAGAATTGGGTGCCAGTACGAGAATCTGGTTATGTAAAGTAACACACTATTTCATAAACCAGCAAATCGCTCGGTACTTGATGTCTGAGCAAGATTCGAGAGAACTGGAGTATTGCAAATTTTACGCTCGCACTCAAAAGGGGAATGTGGAAATTGGGCAGGGTTGATCTATTATGTAACTTACTAAAGCTACAACATACTATTATCGAGCACAATAATAGTTCCTACTTAATGAAGCATAATCTAACAAGAGACTGTCATCATTGATTTTTTAAAAAGATAAATTTGGTCTTTATTTTTTTCCATTCGTTTGTGGGATGTGGGCGTCGTTGGCTGGCCAGCATTTCTTGCCCATCCCTAGTTGCCCTTGAGAAGGTGGTGATGAGCTGCCTTCTTGAATCGCTGCAGTCCTCCTGCTGTGGGTTGACCAACATGTTATTAGGGAGGGAATTCCAGGATTTTGACCCAGCGACAGTGAAGGAATGGCGATATATTTCCAAGTCAGGATGGTGAGTGACTTGGAGGGGAACTTGGGGGTGTCGGTGTTCCGATATGTCTGATGCCCTTGTCCTTCTAGATGGAAGTGGTCTCGATGGAAGAAGGTGCTGTTTGAGGATCTTTGGTGAATTTCTGAATAAATAATATAAAATAAATAATATACATCATTTCTGAATAAATTATTTAGTGATAAAAGTACTGCAGTATATACGGACAGCCAACTTGCATATGATAAATTAATACATAGTGATTTATTCTGAAAATAGGAGAATAAGGATTTGGCTGGGAATTAGGCTGTCTTCTTTGCTAAAGAGTCAGAGCATAAAGTATTGATAATCTAAAGTTAGTTGTGTCCTTTCATAGGTATCATCAATGCCAAGAGTAGTAGCTAAAATTGACAATAAATCACAGGTTTTATCGCTTTTCTAAAAATAATCGCAGCTGGGGTATACATATTTGATTGGGAATGTCGCAGATCGCACAACATGGCAATGTAGTAAATGGTGTGGAGTCGAGTAACTGACATCAGGAGAACAAGACCAGACTAGGTAAAGTGTCAACACATACGATGCAATCAACTGTTAAACGATGCACCTTGTCAAAAAAAAACTCAGAGACTGTATTTTAGAGCAGTAGCGAATAGAGGGGATTACATTCCTAGATTTCTAAGTCTTAGACGATAGGAGGCGTTCTAAAAACCCAAGTGGGATATTTGGCTTTGTAAAGGAATACAAAAGATAGAAAGGGAAGGTAACCATTTACTCAACCTTATTTAGGTTTCAACTAGAGTGACCAGTAAATTTCTGAGCACTGTATTTGGAATATTTTGTGGATTTAAATCGTTACTTAATGATCATTTTGGGATTTACAGCGAGTAACTCCACGACAACAAGGTTTTACCTCCATTTTTGTTCTCTGTCGATTCTGTAATAAACATACAAATATCCATCTTCCAGACTTACCCCCATGTATTGTTTCCTTTCATCAGAGACAAGCTAAAACTTGCGAGCCGATATTTCCAAAAAGTTTAGACGTAAGTCTACAGCAATATTCCCAACAAATGCCCATGTTCCAATTCCTCGGGTGTCGAATGGTGAATTTGCCCAGACACCAGATGCGACACACAAAGCAGGAAGACGAAATAGACCCCGCACATCGGGGCAGTCACCATTGTTCCACGCTAGAATGTGATGCAAAATTTCAAAATATCTTCAACGATAAATGGGAACCAGCATCTTATGCAATTTATATATCCATTTACAAACATGGAACCTAGAATGGCAAGATCCGGACCTCTGCAGATTTGCTTAACATGGCCGCATCGCATGAACGCAGGCAGGGTCTGCGTCTTTCCTTCTGTTATTTCTTTCACAGGAGGAGGAGAGGGGTAGATCCCTCGAAGCGTCACAGCTGTTTATTGGTAGACAGCAACACGAAGTGCCGCAATCAATAATTGCATCAGGAGTTCTTAAAGCGAGACTATTCCAAATGCATTTCTAAGAAAACCAACTGAAAATTAGAAGTGCGCAGAAGCTATAAAATATCTTGTACCTCAGCGACGTTGATAGCTTGTGTTTCAATAGTATTTGTAAATATGTTAAAACAATGCACATCAAAATTTCCAGTGTTCCTCAGCGAAGCATACTTGTATTCTCAACGAATTCTCATTTGCCGATGATTAAAATATATTTTGTGATCATGATAGACATGAGATAGCTATGTATGCTTAATTTTACAGAGTATTATTTTTGATTTTGCTGGCTTAATCTGAAGATTACTGTTTTCATCTTGACAGGGTGAGAACTGCGGGCGTTGGCTGATATCGTACAAGGTCGGATAAAATTCTTAAATATATTCCTACATATGTCTGGCTCATATTAAACATCACGAATTGTTCTATTAATTAACTTGCTTCCGTGGAAAATGTTTTCACTGTTTTCAAAGTTATTTTGCATGAACTCAAATATTATATATGATTGTACTTTAAAGTTTTCGAGAAGGTTTGTAGCTCCGGTTGTGGATAAGGTTGTCGACGTGTTCGCCGAGCCGGTGGGTTTCGTTGCAAACGTTTCTTCACCTTGGTAGCACCGGCTCGGCGAGCATGTCTACAATTGTAGAGCGTACTTTGTTGAAAAATACAGTTCATTTAAACCAAAAAAGCTTCTTTTCAGATTAAAATACGTCCATGCTTATTCCATTGACGTGGAAGTACTATGAATGTCATATAAAATATCGCATTCCCCTTTCTACTTCTTATTTCACATCCTATTGATTTTTTATTATTTAAATTGAGTCCCTGACCAGCAGCCTTCATCTACTTAGATAGAACTCCTAATTTCCAACCCCTCGATTCCTTCGTCCTTAATTCGCATCAGTTATTCTATCTATACATGCACATGGAATAACCAGGTTTTGCAATTGTCGTCTCGTTGGGCTGGGGTTGTATCTTTACAATGAGACACAGTGTCATGTGAGCTTCACGCGTCCCCTTTCAGGGGTATACAGAATTCAAGCTGTGACCAGCCTAACGATGTACTTTTGTGGATATCGTGTCCTTGCAGTTTCAGAGGGTGAATTCGGGTAATCTATGTTCAGACTGATAACTTATAACAAACAGTTTCTTTTTGAAAAGATTGAGTCTGACACAACGTTTTATTTTTATTTTTTAAGGGTACGTTGACGCCACGAGCCAGGGTGGAATCGATTACGCATCCCTAATTGTCTAGAAGACAGCTAAGAGTCAGCATACAGGCCTGGAACTACAAGTAGGCCAGACAAGCTAAGGACGCCAGAGTTCTTTCTTTGAAGGACGTTAGTGAATCAATTGTTTTTCTCTCAACAAAAGTTGTCACATGGTCACTATTAACTTAGCTTTTAGTTTTATTACAGATTATTATTGAATGCAAATCTCATTGCCTGCCATATGGAATTCGAACTAAAGTCCCCAGAACATTAGGGTGGTGCGGTACAATATTGGTGCAGTGGCATCACCACCTCAACAACACTTCCCCTCATGATGTCGATTATATAGTTTTTTCTTTAATGAGTGGATGAGCAGGTAACTTGTGAAGTCCTGGAGATAACAGCCTGACTGCGCTAATAATGTTATTGGATGGTGATAGTCACATGTTTAATTCGGTGTGCTGACTACAAATGATGGGGGGAAAACAAAGAATTCAGGGCAGCTTCATGTTGGAAGCTTTTTCTTTATTCCATGAACTTTTGCATTCAACTGTGAAAGCTTCCAGGTCCTGAAAATTTACTTTCCGCTGCTTACTATAGTTGCAAAAAGATGCAAAAAAAACAGGGGAGAGAGGAAACACAGACAGCCACATCAATACGCAATTCATTCAAACATAATTTGAAGTGGAAACCTGCTGCCATGCCAACCATAATATACTATGTATTGTTCAGAACTTTTTAAAAATGTCAGGAATATTTTTCATCATAGTCGTATAGGACCAGAGGAACGACAGTGGTATTTTGGTCGATCATGCCGTCTCCTGCCAAATGAGAATATGGTCAATTATGCAAAACATACTCGCTCGTCAAATACAGAAAGAAAAACTTTTTCTTCGAAGAGAATTACCTGTGTACATAAATATTGTTGTTTGATTTAAATCATTGTTTTGGCGTTCTGGATATTCACTTCGTTGAAGGGCAAAGTGGGGTGGACAGGTTTCAAAAATAGAAAATCGCTCTTGGACGATTCTGGAGTTAAGCACACAGTATAGCCAAATCCTTCGCACTGACCAGGACCACCATAGCTTAAAGTCTCGTTCCCCGCACGCATCGCGTTAGAGGTATCGTTAGAGTTTCGCTGTCTGTAACAAGAAACTGGAGTGCGGTAGTCCTCAGCAATGTTACTCTTTTGCTTAAACTTCAGTACGACCAGGAAAATAATGACTGTAAGAAACACAAACGAAGTTGATCCCAAAATGATAATTAAATGGCGATTTAAATCCGAAAAATAATCAGAATTTTTAACTTCAGAGGTTCGTTCAGAAGATTTCTCTGTAACATTGGATGTGACTGTAAAAGAGATTGTGGCAGTACTGGATAGACACGGCTGCCCGTTGTCTTTTACCAAAAAGATCAACTTTTCATTGATGATATTTTCATCCCTAAAATGTTGAGTTGCTCGGAGTTCTCCGGACAGGGGACCCAGAGTAAATATCCTGGGATGAGTCGCCTCCAACACTTGGTAGGAAAGCCGTGCATTTTGTCCAGAATCGGCATCAGTGGCGATTATCTTGGTAACTAGGTATCCTGGATGAACTGACTGCGGTCTAATCTCCAGTAATGCTGAACTGTTCCACATTAGAGGTGAGACAATAACCGGCGCATTGTCATTTTGGTCCAAGATAATAACATTCACCGCGGCAGTGCTGCTCAGCGCGGGTGATCCACCATCCCGGGCTTGAACTTGGATCTGGAATTGTTTCAATTCTTCATAGTCAAAGGAGCAAAGCGAGTAAATATTACCATTTTTGGAATTAATAGTGACATATCCAGGATCCTTTTGTATATGATTTTCCACAATAGAATATGCCACGTCACCATTCTTGTCTATATCAGAATCTAAAGCGGTAACTGCAAATATAGAAGCACCAGGAGTGTTGTTCTCCGTCAGATACACGTTATATGACGACTGTGTGAACTTCGGTGCCTGGTCGTTTATGTCAGAAACAGAGACCAAAATGCTCTTGTGCGTTGATAACGGGGGTGTGCCTCCGTCCCATGCTGAAATTGTAATGTTGTACAGAGGGGTCGTTTCGCGATCAAGAACACCACTTGTGACTAATTTATAGCTGTCTCTCAAAGCCGTCTGAAGTTTAAATGGAATATTCATTGGAACTTCACAGTAAATGTGACCATTTTGTCCTGAATCTAGATCAGCTATATTGATTACAGCAATCACGGTTCCAATCTGCACATCTTCGGTGACTGTTCTAGATATAGACGTTACCTCTAACTCCGGTGCGTTATCATTCACATCTATTAGTTCGACTAGAACTTTGGCACGTCCTACCATATATGAAGGAGCTTTATCCACTGCTTGTACATCAAGTTCATAAGCACGTGATTCTTCAAAATCCAGTACTCCTTGAACTACAATTTCTCCCGTCACGGAATCCAATCTGAACAGTTTGCGATTTTTTTGGGAAACGTGTCTTGTGAAATGATATGTCAATTCGGCGTTGGTCCCTTCATCTAAATCAACAGCGTTGATTTTTACCACTAGTGTACCCAGAGGCGCGTTTTCAGCTACACTGCTCCTATATATCTCATGATCAAATACAGGTGCGTTATCGTTGCTGTCCAGTACTGTAATAACAATTCGAGCTGTACCGGACCTGTGAGGACTCCCTCCATCGATGGCCGTCAGGACGAGGTCATAGTGAGACTGTAGTTCACGATCCAGTGGCTTCTCTAACAACAATTCAGCGCTTTTACTCCCATCACTTCTTGACTCGACTTCGAGGCTGAAGTGCTCGTTTGGACTTATATAGTAATTGTTGATTGCGTTTGTGCCCATGTCCGCATCATGCGCACTCTCGACAGGAAAGCGTGACCCTGGTGTAATTAATTCGCTGATCTCCAATGAAAATTCGTTCTTTTCAAAACTGGGTGAATTATCATTTACATCTAATACTTGAAGGACAGCGCGATGCATTTCCGACGGATTGTCGAGCGCTATTTCTAAAAAAAGGGAGCAAGCAGATCTTTGTCGACAAACCTGCTCCCTGTCAATTCTCTCGGCAATAATTAAAATCCCTTTTTCCAGATTTACCTCCACATATTTCTTTGCATTATCGGGCACCACCCGAAGATTACGACCTTGTAATTCCCAAACGTGCAGTTTTAAATCCTCCGCGATATTCCCGACAAAGGCTCCATGCTCCAGTTCCTCGGGAATCGAGTAGAAAATGTGTCCGAAAGCCAGGTCCAACACACAAAGGAGGAAAATAAAAGACGTCCCGCCCTTGTGCACATTCGCCATTGTTCTGAGCTGGATTTTATTGTTAAAATAACGAGGTCCCTCCCAATCCTGTTAATCAACTGTATTACTATGTTCGATATAATTAGATAGACGATATTAAAGCAAGAAATAAAAGCACAAAGCCTCAGCCTTATGTCTGAATATGGCGATATACCAAACACAGCATCTCTCTCTCCTTCTCTCTGTTTCTGCTCTGTGCTGCCTTTATGGGGGAGGGGGTAGATCTCCTGCAACGTTTCAGCTCCTAACTGGTACACAGCGACGCAGACAGCCTGGTGCAATAGTAGGATCAAATTATTCTTAAAGCTTGACCGTCGAAATAATATTCCCCACATGGAAAACAACAAGAATTAATACTATGCAACTAAAATCTTTAGATCGGCATAGGTAAGTGTAATTTTGTTTCTCGAAAAGATTTGTAAAAACAAGTTTTCTTTGCAATCGAAAATTGATATTCGTCCAACGGTCATACAGCTTTTTGTTCCTGGTCACCGCCCGATCCATACCAGAAGGATTTCCCTGCACGTTTATCACTATCTCATGCAATTTAGAAGCATTCTATAAAGGATAAATGGTCACACTGCCGGGGAAACTTAAGTCCGTCACCTACGACATTTCAGTTTTGGACTGCTACATCAAGTAATTGGATAATTTGTCAGTTCACTATGTCTGAGGATTTCGTCAGTTCATTGGCAGTATCCAACAGATAATAAACAGAAAAGCGTCAAACTAGAAACTTGCTCATTGCTATTCTGTAGAAGCAATCAGGACAATTCCCCTTTCTCCCTCCAAAATGTCAAAATACCTTGCTTGAATTTTTGGCATTCCACATCGGATGCAATGAGCGCTGTTATTTGGCAAACTGGTGAAAATGCAAATGCTTTAATATATATATTTATATGTAAATGTAAATCTGTACTTAGCTGTGTACATTTTTTAAAACACTTTTTTTTCTAGGATATGAAAAGAGCTCAACGACAGAGCCATGGATTCATAATCATTAATGGCAGAGAAGGAGGCAATTTATCCCATAGATTCCAGGCAGTCCCCAGCTGCAGCTCAATCCCCGTTAGTTTACAAATTTATTTCTCTCTGGTGCCCTCCAATTTGCTTAGCAACTAATTGATTGTTTCTGCTTGCATTGAGTAGAGAGTGCTAGGTGATTTCAATTTACCCATCTATAAAAGATGCAATTTTTACATTCCACCCGCATATTTGGCCCAACAATAGATCAATGCCAACAGGTTGGCATGGTGGCTCAGTGGTTAGCACTACTGCCTTACAGCACTAGCGACTTGGGTTCGATTCCAGCCTCGGGCAACTATCTGTGTGGAGCTTGCATATACTCCCTGTGTCTGCGTGGGTTCTTTTCGGGTGCTCTGGATTCCTCCCGCTGTTCAAAGATGTGTAGGTTAGGTGCAATGGCCGTGCTAAATTGTTGATAGTGTTCAGGGATGTGGAGATGAGCTGGATTATAGGGGTGGGATGTTGGGCCGAAGGGCCTGTTTCCACATTGTAGGAATACGATGATGATGATGGGTCCTTTTCATTAGCAGTGATAGGAAGAGATGTCCTTGGCCAATCTTACTCAAACCCGTCATGATCGTTTGTAATTTACTCAAAATCTCACTTGTTCTAAGAAAAGTAGCACTAAATATTTCAGTCCAGCTCTGATTAAAATTCCCCATTCTTGAAAATTACTTCTGCACTCCCTCAAATTCTCACACCGCCTTCCTAAAATGTGATTGGCAGAACCTGGCATATTTCTGCTGCACGAGTTTTATCAATGTCATCCATATGCTCTCTTCTTTGCTTTATGGATTCCAAGATGCCATGAGAATTATTAAACATTGTCTCAATACATCTTGTCACCTTCAAACATGAATTGCACAACATTTCTATATATTGCATTGCATTTGGCATGAGCCTGCTCATTTTGATAGCCTATTTATGTCATATTGCAAATGATGCGTATTATCTTTAACGTTTGCCATGCCTCCATGTTTGACATAAATGACAAGTCTTGAATTTCTGATCTGCATTTCAAAACGTAAGAGACAAGAATTAAAGCACAGTTCCTGCACTTGCTTGTTTGGCAAAATTGCCTATCTTCTTCCAGTTTGAAAACTGCCATTTACTGTGCGTTTTTTCTCCATTTTTCATACAGCTTTTTATCCAACTGGACAGCAATCCTTCAGTTCTATTATTCTCAACTTTGGTCATGATTCTTGCTGTCAAATGCTTCTTTAACATACGTGTAGAGAGCGTCCAATTGAGCAGCAGAGAACAGTCTTTTCTGTGGTTTGACTGATGCATTAAATAAAATAAGTTAGCATGAGAAGCCTTTTACAATAGTGTGCTGATTCCTTAATTACATCAGACTCCGCCAAGTTTCTATTTTGTTCCCCTGAATATTGTTCATAATACCATTCCCACTGTGTACGTTAAACTAACTACCTGTTGTTGCTAGAATTGTCCTTACATCCCTTCTCGACAAGGTCACATTTGGCACTCTGCAAATTCTCTGGTACTTTCCCCATAGACAAGGAGGGGATGGGAGATTATGAAAATCTCCCTAATTACCTCCAACTGCACTCCCTTCAGAAACTTGGATTTCAAGCCATATGGATTTGATGAGTTACCTATTCTAAGAATAGCCAGCTTTTCAAGTACTTCCTGCCTTTAATTTTCTCTCTATCCATTGTCTCTGCGTGGACGCACTTTTACAGTCATTTTGTCAGATTTCTCTTGGCACAGTTCGAAATCTAATTTCCAAACATCGCATCTGGCTTTCCGCATTGAGCATAAAACATACTGATCAAAACGTTCTCTAGAACACATTTCTGAAATGTGTTTCCTCCATTCCTTTTACTCTAACATTATCCCAAGCAATTCTAATATAATTAAAGTATCCCTTGCCTCATCCTACGACAAGTAGCACTGCTGCATAGGGAAAGATTGTGTACATTGATGGTTTGTGTATGTATTTAGAGTTTTTTTATTATTATTCATTCACGGGATGAGGGCATCGCTGGCTGGGCAGCATTTATTGCCCATCTCTAATTGCCCAGAGGGCAGTTAAGAGCCGGCCTCATTGCTGTGGGTCTGGAGTCACATGTAGGCCAGAGCAAGTAAGGATAGCAGTTTCTTTGCCTGAAGGACATTAGTGAACCAGATGGGTTTCTCCAACAATCGACAATGGATTCATGGTCATCATTAGACTCTTAATTCCAGATATTTATTGAATTCAAATTCCACTATCTGCCTTGGCGGGATTCAAACATGCGCCCCCAGAACATTATCTGTGTCTCTGGATTAATAGTCCAGCAATAACACCATTAGGCGATTGCCTCCCGATTAGATAGATAGATAGATAGATGGATACATACATACATACATACATACATACATACATACACACATATATACATAGAGAGTTTTGTTTTTGACCAAGCATTTGATGTAATTCTTCTTTTCACGGACCATGAACATGGAAATTTGAACTGTTTGAGGTTTTCCCTCAGAACTAAAAAGCATTTAAAATGATTGATTATAGTTATTAAAGCTTCATTAAAAACAATCAAAATTATCAGGATTTTATGTCTAATCTTGAGCAATCGTACAGAACCATCGGTAGCTTGACCAGTTTGGTCAGCCATGTGAACATGCAATGAAACTAGCAAAGATGTTCCAGAATCTACTTAAGCAAATCCACACACAATTTTCAACATTTACAGCCTTCTCCATCTATCCTAATTAAACTTTTTTCTCAAGTGACCTAGCATTGTTGTTTCCTCTCCACCTGTCCTCTCCTCTATCCCTCTTCTATCCGCCTCCAACTCTCTCCCTATTTATTTCAAAGCCCCCTTCCCCTCCCCCTTTTCTGATGAAGGGTCTAGGCCCGAAACGTCAGCCTCTCTGATCCTATGATGCTGCTTGGCCTGCTGTGTTCATCCAGCCCTGCACCTTGTTGTCTCGGATTCTCCAGCATCTGCAGTTCCTACTATCTCTAGCATTGCATCCTTATCGGTTAAACAGTCTTTCATCCTAAATACGTCAAGATTCTTTTAAAGAGATTATATTCTAAACCACACATGCTCCGATACCTAAAATATGTTTATCTTCACTCAGTCTATTACTTTCTTCAAATCTATCATTACTCTAGCAGTTCTCACCTCCACTCCCTTAAATCCAAACATTGTAGACATGGGCATCAAGAACAGCTTAAATCACCCATCATAAAATCTGGCTAGAACATGTTAAGAAAAATTAGACAATGATTTCCAAAATTGCTCTCTTTTTGAAGGTCATCCAGAATTCAACTTATATTCTCTACCTTTTTTATAGTAACGATCCTTCTTAGGCCATTCTCCCTCTGTTGATCGCCAATCTATCACTCTCCTCTTTCAAGATACTCCTAAACATCTTCCACCTTTTATAAAGCATTTGGTCATCTTTCCTAAGTTCTCATCCTATGGCTAGTATGGAAAATAACCATCAATATTTTTGTTATTGATAAATCTCTTTTTATACATGTTGGAATAATAACTGTACAGTATTACATTTTGCATTGATTTAGTGGTGGTGGTGGTGTAAAATCGTATCTTTTTTAGCCAAAATCCGAGACTCGTGCATGACCATTCCTGGGTATGCCTGCCCTCTGATTGGACTGACCAATTAGGAGTGGCAGTTTTATAAAACTGAAAGAAAATGACTCTGAGATTCTTAAACTTTGGCTCTTTACTTCTTTCAGCGTCATGGTATAAGGTCAGCATTGAGCAGTAAAAACCTTACTGTGTGACAAATTCCCACTTATTCCCTTCTCTGTTCTGGGGATTCAAAAATCCTGCATGTTTAACATCATTTATCACAAACGAGAGGGTATTGTGTGAGGCCCTTGTAGTATACTTAAATATTTTATATTTGAATGTAGAGTGGTTGATCAGAAAGTTTGTAGATGATATGAAATTCATGGGGTGGTAATTAGCGAGGAGAATAGTTGTGGACTATAGAATGATGAAAATGACCTGATCAGATGGGCTCATCAGTGACAAATGGAAATCAATCCTGGCAATTGTGAAGTGATGCATTTGACAGGACAACAAGGAAATGGAATACATTATGAACGATAGGAACTTGTGAAGTATCGAAGATCAGAGGAACTTGGTTTGCACGCCCACCGGTCCCTTAAGGAAGAGAGAGAGGTACATAAAGTGCTTAAGAAGGCATATGGGACATACTTTGTTAGCCAAGGCATAGAGATTATGACAGGAGTTTAGGAAGATTATGCAGTAATTGTATAAAACGTTGATTAGGCCACTGCTGCATTATAGTGTGCAGTTCTGGAATTCACATTTTAGGAGGGATGTGAACGCGCTGGTAAGGGTGTAAAGAAGATTTATCAGGATTTTGTCTGGGCTGGAGAGTTTTAATCATGGTGAGATGTTGGACAGATTCGAATTGTTCTCTTTGGAGCAGAGGAAACTGAGGGGGGACATGATTGACATGTATAAAATTATGAGGGACAGAGATAAGGCAGACAGGACTTTTCACCTAGAGGGTGGTGGGAATCTGGAACTCACTGTCTGTCAGAGTGCTGGAGACAGAAGCCCTCATAACATTTAATAAGTATTTAGATGCAGACGTGCAGTATAAGGTTACAGGCCAAGTGCTGGAAATTGGGATTAGAATAGTAAAATGCTTGTTTTTGACTGATACTGTATCAATGAACCGAAAGACCTTTTACTATGCTATGGAGCTCTTAATTCCTAAAAAGAAGAAAGTAAATGTCATTGAGGGCGCATGATGCATTCTGGTTGGGAACTTCAATATCAATTGCTAAGAATCGTTGATAGAATTACTATTGATAGAACTGGCCAAATATTGAAGGGCATAATACGAGACTGGGTCTGTGATAGGAGGCGAGAAGTCTAAAACTAAAGAAAATCTTACTATTAATGCAGGGTCAGTTCATGACTGTGGTAGTAGGAGTGACCATTGCTCAATCCAAATGCACACAAAAACCGCCAGCATACTAAAGACACGTTGAAGCATGTTCTGTGGTACTTCAAAAGTTTTGGATTGGATTGATCCAGCACAGAAACTGGACGTACATAATGTGCCATGGAACATCAGTGGCAGCAAAACTGTATTGCATCACAACATATAAGCTCATGGCCTATCTAACAGTTACTGTACCATTACCATCATGTAAAAAGACCTAGACATGGTTTAAAATAAGGACAGAAAGTTATGCAAGAAAAACTATTACATGCAATGACACGCGATGCATTAACTTGGTGAAGTTACAGAAAATGATTGCATGAACAATAAGCTGTGGGAGCATCATGCATTACACAAATGTGCACTACAGCGCAATCAACAGTTCACTGAAAGCTTTACATTACTGACCCATCTAGTCCCACTTCATAAGAAGTTATATGAGTCGTCTCTCTGATTATTTCCACCATCAATACTGTCCAGGGTGGAAAAAACAGGTTGAAATGTTTGTAATAATCTTCAACCCAGAAGTTATGACCCATTCTAGCTTTCACCTGAGGTCACGACAATCATCATGCCAGTCTTCAGTAATTTAGATTCACTCCACCTGATAACAAGAAACAATTACAAATAGAGGGTAGAGAAACTAGGGACACCATGGGCGAAACTCTCCACTAGTTGGAGAAAGGAGAAAGTTTATGATTTTTGAAGGCCAATAATATCAACCCCATTACATCACTGTGTGAGTTCCAGTCATCTTCATATATTTCATGAATAGCCTTCTTTCCATTATTAGAATAAAAGTTGGGACATTCACTTACAGTTGCATTGTGTTCAGTTCCATTCATTACTTCTCACACAATGAAAAATCGTGTCCACATACACCAAGGACGGTGCAATATTCAACCCTGAGTTCTTAAGTGACAAATAACATCCACACAACACAATTTCCCAACAATTGCCATCTCCAATAAGAAAGGATCTCTACACCTCCTCTTGATATTCAACAACATTATGAAGTCTGAATTCCCTCCCGTCATCAGTTGGGTGAATACCAAGGGCCAAATCAATAAACAGGCGGCTCACATTAATTGAGTCATTAGGGCTTCCTAGTTGACATTATACTGTACTTTTTATTCTGTACGAATTCTTATTTTAGCAATATTAGTTGTTGAGTGATTTGGATGTGCATACTGATGTATGTATTGGAACTCAATGTCTGGATTATACAACTATAAGGTTGTCATTGTGACTGAAGGGTATTAGAATCAGTTTGTCGTTATGAGTCGTGTTTAGCCAATTTGTTCCAAAAATAGATTACTTAAGAAAGCAGAAGCAAATATGGATACCATTAAGCAGACTTGTCCCTGTATTATTTGTGGAAATATGCACCATTTTAAGGAGATTGTTTACTTACAAACAATCAGTGTTGTTGCAACTTGCAAGGGTAAATATTTCAAATCACCATGAATTCTTTAAAAAGTTTTAAATCCATGAAACGTCATAATTATTGAAGAATGCATCCAAGGCATGAAATTATGCTCTATGGTAGTAACAATTTGAATATACATGCAATAACTTATCCAACAGTGCAACCCAGAGGGAAATGACTGAAGCATAAATTTAAACCGATGTCAAAATTCATGCAAATGTTTATACCGCATGCACTGCAAAGGATTGCCAAAAAGTGATGGTATATTCAGTATCATAAACATGCGGGGCATGGGAACAACGTGAAATGGATTCAGCTTATCAAACCTCTATACCAAAGGAAATAATTAATTAAATGTGCAAAACCTATCTGATTTTCCAAAACTTAATGTAGACTCCACATCAGGGTGATTACCGAAAACTTGCTGTCTAAATTAATTCACCACATTGGTGCGCCGGACATTCGCTTCTTTGAATGGCACGGTAGGATGACAGGGCTTTAGAAACAGAAAGTCACTTTTCGATGATTCTGGAGATAAACAGATGGTGTAATGATAACCTTCATTTTGGACAGGTCCAGCACAATTTAATCGCTCGTTTGGGGAAGGTCTATGATAAGAACTACCATTCGAATTGCTACTCCTGTGACAAAGTTCGCTGGAGTTATATATTTCAGCAATACTTCCGTCTTGTCTAAACTTCAAGATGACGAGAACAATTATGGCAACAAGAAACACAAACGATGTCGATCCTAAAATAATAATTAAGTAACGATTAGGTACAGAAAAATATTCCGATAATCTCGGTTTGTCACTTAGTTCCGATGATTTGTCAGTAACATTGACTACGATTATGAAGGAGATCGTGGCGGTGCTGGAGAGTCTTGGCTGTCCATTGTCCTTCACAAGGATAATTAGTCTTTCTGTAGCGATTTCGTGTTCTCTGATATTTTGTGTTGCTCTAATTTCACCAGATACATGACCCACAGTAAACATTCTGGAATCAGTGCCCTCCAACACTTGGTAGGAAAGCCGTGCATTTTGTCCAGAATCGGCATCAGTGGCGATTATTTTGCTAACTAGGTACCCTGGATGTACCAACTGCGGTGTAATCTCCAATAATGCTGAACTGTTCCACAATAGGGGTGAGATAATAACTGGTGCGTTGTCATTTTGATCCAAGATTATAACATTCACGGTGGCAGTGCTACTCCGAGGGGGCGATCCCGTGTCCTGGGCTTCAACTTGGATCTGGAAATATTTCAATCTCTCATAGTCAAAGGAGCGAAGTGAGTAAATATTACCATTTTTGGAGTTAATTGTGACATAACCAGGACCCGTTTGCATACGATTCTCCGAAATAGAATACGCCACGTCACCATTCTTGTCTGTATCAGAATCTAAAGCGGTAACTGTAAATACAGAAGCACCAGGAGTGTTGTTCTCCATCAGATACACGTTATACGACGATTGTGTAAACCTCGGTGCATTGTCATTGATGTCAGAAAGTTCAATCAGAATAGTTTTATGGGCTGAAAGCGTGGGAGTACCCTCGTCCCAGGCTGAGAGAGAGATGTTGTAGAATGGCACTGTTTCTCGATCCAGAATATCGCGTGTTAACAATTCAAATTTATTCCTTAAAGACTTTTGCAGTTTAAATGGACCATCCCTAAGAACTTGACACTGAACTTGTCCGTTTTTCTCCGAATCTAAATCTGTAACAGTGATGACGGCTATTACCGTCCCGGGTACAGTATCCTCAGAAACCGTGCTTGATACCGACGTTACGTCTATCACGGGAAAATTGTCATTAAGGTCACGTAGATTAACCATAACTTTGGCATGCCCTGCCAATCCAGGTACAGCGCTATCCACAGCTTGTACATCAAGTTCATAAACAGTTGATTCTTCAAAATCTAGTACCCCTTCAACTCGAATCTCCCCATTGTTCGGTTCCAATGTGAACAACTCGCGAATCCTTTCGGAAACGTGATGTGTAAAAGAATATGTTATCTCAGCGTTCGTACCCTCATCCAAATCAACAGCGTTGATTGTTGCCACTAAGGTACCTTTAGCGCTGTTTTCTGCTAGAGTCGACTTGTATATTTCACGATCGAATAAAGGTGCATTATCATTGACGTCCACGACCATAATAGTCATCCGAGCCGTGCCAGATCTGGGAGGAATTCCACCGTCGATAGCTGTCAGTGTAAGATGAAAGGTAGATTGCTGTTCACGGTCTAATGACTTGTCTAATATCAACTCAGCACTCTTACTCCCATCACTTCTGATCTGCACTTTAATATAGAAATGGTCATTTGGACTGATCTGATAAGTGCTGATCGCGTTTGTCCCCACGTCCGGGTCGTGCGCTCTCGCAAGAGGAAAGCGCGCCCCTGGTGCAACGAGTTCACTGATTTGCAAAGAAAATTCGGCTTTGGAAAATTGAGGTGAATTATCATTAACGTCTAGTATTCCTACTACAACTCGATGCATTTCTAACGGATTATCGAGCGCTATTTCAAAAGAAAGGGAACAAGTAGAGCTTTGCCTACAAATCTGTTCTCTGTCGATTCTTTCATTAACAAATAAAATCCCATCTTCCAGATTTACCTCAATATATTGTTTTCTCTCATTGGCCACAAGCCGACATTTATGGGCAGACAATTTCCAAGCTTCTAGTTTTAAATCCTCCGTGATCTTCCCAACAAAGGCCCCGCGCTCCAGTTCCTCAGGGATCATGTAGCGAATCTGTCCCCTAACCAGGTCCAACACACAAAGCAGGCAAATAAAGGACATTCCGCCCTTCCGCGTATTCGCCATTGTTCTGGGTTGGATTTTGCGATTTAAATATCGAAATCTCTGGCAAGTGAAGAGATACCCAGGAACGTGGCTCTACAGTGAAGACTGTCGCTGATACTAAACCGAGAAATGTGAATAATTCGCCAGATTTGTATTGCTGAAAATGGCGGATAAGCGCAAATACGAACACAGCATCTGTTTTTCGCTCATTCTCCCTCTCTCTCTTCTTCGACTGTGTTTGCGTTTCTCTGAATGGGAGGGCCGGATCTCTTGCAGCGCCCGGACGCCTAATTGGTAGACAGCGACGCAAACAGTTTTAACCAATAACTGCAATGAGGTTCCTTAAAGCTGGACAGTTTCGGAATAATTTATATTTGAGAAAATATTTAACATCATGCGACCAAAATCTTTAGATACGTATCGATTGAGTCACTCTTTTTGTTTAAAAAAACTGTACGTTTGTTTTATATTCCATTATGCTACTGTTCAGCATGCAAAGAAGGTATTTAACACATGCATTTCGCCGTTTGATTTTTTTTTCTGCTCCCTGGCGTGCGTGATGGTTTAGCGATGGCTATCACAGTCATCACAGAGCAGAAGCTGGGGAGCAGTGTTAAGTCTCCTGCAGGTATCCAGTCACCCTCATTTAGACAATACTGTCCAGATCATATAGTACAGAAATTATTTGGGGCGTTTTGAGGACGAATATTGCTGGTGATATTTCAGGATACGATGTATTTCAAGCAGATCCTTGACCCGAAGATATCAATGTGGAGACTGGCTTATCCCGAGTGCGCCCATTAAAACAAAGAAGTCTCAACTTCCTTCCTCTTGTTGAAATGTCCTTGACGTCACTGTGGTTTTCCTGCATTGAAGCATCTAAAGTTTTTGAATGGACGGCTACATATTAAATAACGAATTAAGAAACTATAAATAGTTTGCTCTATTCAGTTGAAAGTTATGCTTTGTTGGAGTTACTTTTAGTAAAAATGAAGAAGGGACTTGTTAAACATGATCAATGTGCAGGCAGCAAGGCATGATTATGCACATTGTACATGACAGATTCTCCTGGATATTTTATTCAATTCATCAGAGGAGAGTACTATCAATACTTCATAGTAACGTTTTATATATAATTAACACGAAAAGGTATAACAATTGCTAAAACTGAAACGATTGAATAGTTTGTTTTCTTTTTTCATTTGCTCAGAAATATAAATATTGGATAATGTTTTTCATTTGTTGTATAATTTATGGGTATTAGTTAATGGATTATTTGCGAGTCTGCTGAGATTGTTCCAAGTATGTAACATGGAAAAGGGGCATAATTTGATGGTGATAATTGATGATTTAATCAGGGCTATTGATGAAAGCAAAAACTGGAAATAGTGTGTAAACGTCTGCTGGGAAGTCAAAGACTTAACTGTTGAATTCACGACAAAACAAATAGAACAGATTTCAATTTCGTGCAAACTTTCTACCAGAAGCTCACCTTTAGATTCTAATAGATCCTCAGTCGCATTTTTATATTGTAATTCTAAATGTAAAATTAATAGAATGATTTGTTGTATAGTGCGAAGTGTACATAAAGTTCTGAGGTCGAATGCTGAATTCCCAGTTACTCACAACCATGAATAGGATTATTGAAAAGTTTTGCGATCACATTATATCCAACACATAAATGATTTAAAATAAAGTTGATTTTATGAGAGATATACAGTGATTTGGCTGATCATGGGAAGAAATCAAATAATGTCTGAAGATGCTGAATACAAATAATTGATTACTGTGGCTACTAAAGTTTCTAACACCAGGATTTTGCTTGCGATAGTTTGCTATATTTTGTCAATAACTCCAGAATCATTACATCTTTGTGACCTTTTTCTTCTTAAATGTCCACTTGCTCTACCACTGGCATGTTGTGACTGAAATATTCATTATCTAAAAAATGCAATGCAGGAATTCACCAACATATTTTCGTTAGCAACTCGACTGACAGGAAGGAAAAGAACAGCAGCAGCATCTGAACACCATCACTGTCAAACTCTTCTACGTCAACCTCTCTTGTGTTTATATTGCCAGTGATTTTTTCTACATGTGACAAGATCCTGCTATGCCTTGAGTACTGAAAGTCAATGCTGAATGTTTAAAGTAAGTGGAGGAGAAGCATTGGAAGATTTGTTGGTATTTTGCTCTGGTAAACCTGAAAGCTGGCTTTGATTAAACACCATGAATACAATTGAACACATTGCAGGGGGTTTAGGTCGATTTGCTGTCTATTGGTCCTACCTGCCCCGAAATGTGAAAAAATAGGATGAATGAATTGAAGCACAAAGAAGCCCCAGTCAAAATAGTCAATAAGAATCAGAGGGGAAATCTTCGCTTCTTCAGCACAAGGAAACTTTGGCTGTGGTTGTTGGAAGTCAGTTATATGATGTCCATGACATCTGTTGATATGGTTCATTCCTCGTGGTATTGCTGCCGCGTCCTTGTGGGTCCTATGCAGTGATGGTCTGTTTCAGCATGTTCAGAATTGTCAGCAGCATTGAAGGTCCAGCCCTGGATTCCAATGGCCCAGGTCAGCGGTGTCTTCGACAATGACTTTAATTCCTTAAGGCAGCTTATGCCTGGCACTTTAGCTGGCGTAGTGGTCTACTTAAGTGGCAGCTTCAATGTCGAGATGGGTCTTTGCAACGGCGTCTGTGGCGTCTTCAGTGGCATGGTGGTCTGGTCTAAGATTCCAATGGTTCCAGAATTGGCGGCTTTGATATCGGCTTTCTGCAGCAGTGGAGAACTTGGTTCCTGTCTTTTCCTCGACCTTGGAAACCCAGTAGAAGTGAATTGAAAAGAAAGATGGACTTTGCCTTAATTTATATACATGTATGATTTCTGTGATTAATATTGGCGCTGGAGTACGGCGACTTAAACAATGTTCACTGTAGTTTTTGTTAAAAAAAATACATGGGGTTTTATCCTAAACTGAAACATTTTCAGCTGCTTCATCAATAATGTCCTGTCCATCATAAGGTCAGAAATGAGGATGTTCACTGATGATTCCACTCATAACTTCTCAGACACTAAAGCTCTCCATGTCCAAATGCAACAAGTCCTAGACAGTATCTGCACTTAGGATGAAAAGCAGCAAGAAAAGTTTGTGACGCGCAAATGCTAGGCAATATCTATCTCCAACATGAAACATTCTGACCTACACCCCTCCCCCAACATCCACTTTGAAACTCAATGTTGTTACCATCACTGAATCCCCCAATGTCAACATCTTGGGGTGTTACTGCATGCACAAACTGAACCAGGGTAACCATAAAAATCTGATGGTTATAAGAGCATGTCAGAGACTGGGAATCCTACAGTGAGTAATTCACCACTTGACTCTCCAAAGCCTGTCCGCTATCAGCAAGTCAAATTCAGGAGTGTAGTGGGATATTCTCCATTCTCCTGTATGAGAAACCCCAGCAACACTCAAGAAGATTAACAACATCCAGGACAAAGCAACCATTTAGTTTGCACCCCATCCACAGACACCGACTCCATCCACCACTGACACCTATTAGCAGCATTCTGTACCATGTACAAGATGCATGGCAGAAATTCACCAAATATCCTATGAGGGCACATTCCAAACGTGCGACCTCGACCATCAAGAAGGATGAAGAGCAGCAGGTATGTGGGTACATCGCCAGCTACAAGTCTTTGTGTTGTTGGGTCAAATTCGCAGAAACACCTCCCGGAGAGACACTGTGAGTCTACCACACTAAAGAGTTCAGAGCAGATCAAGAAGGCAGCTCAACAACACATTCTCTCAGGCACCAGTAAAGCATAATAAATGATGCCCAGTCGGCAAGGCCCAAATCACTTCAGCCAAATAGATAGAAAAGATGTGACATTTTCTAAAGATTTCACCGCCAAACATTGGTTAATAATTCAAAGCAGCTCTAAAAGAGTGCTGTGTTGTTGGTCGTGTCGACTTTTAGCTGAGTTGCAAAATTGAGGTAGTTTATCCTCTCTAAAATGGAGGTAAATTCCATGAGACAGTATTCAAAATACAAGCATGAGAGTTCCCCCTTATTTCCTGGCCAATTATTATCTTCGCATCAATGCCATTTAAACCGATTGTTTGGCCATTACGAGATTGCTCTTTGTGAGACTTCACTATGCATGGAGAGGTTCCAGGACTTCCTACGTTATAACAGTGACTTAACTTGCAAAGTAGTTGTAAAGATCTTTGAAATGAATTAAGGTAGGGAAATGCACTACACAAATGCAGATTTTTCTTGAATTACAAATTGTTGGGAAATTATTGGAAAAGATTCTTCGGGATAAGAGTAGCAGACGGTCAGAAAAATATAGACTAATTACTGGGAGACAGAATGATTGTTCGGGGAAGGTCCTGTCTCCCATCATGATTGAGTATTTTTAGGAAGTGGAAAAGATGATTGATGAAGGCAGGGTGATAGCAGTTGTGGATACGGACTTTAGCAAGGCTTTTGATAATGTCCTTCATAGAAGACTGATACAAATCGTGAAGTCACATGGGATCTGCGGAACTGACGTGTACTGCAAGTATCTGTGCTGGAACCCCTGTTGTCGTTTGGAGGAGATTGTAGGTGGTCTGATTATTAAGTTTACAGATGACACAAATGTTGGTGGAGCTGCCAGTAGTGAGGAGATTGCCAGATGATACAGCTATAGATAGACTTCGGTGGAGAACTATTGGGTGACGTTTAATCCAGACATATTCATGGTAATGTATTTTGGAAAGTCTAATGCAGGAGGGAAGCATACAGTAAATGGCGGAACCCTTAGTGGCATCAACATACAGAGTGATGTAGGTGTACAGGTTCACAGTTCCCTGAAAGTGGCAAAACGATTGAATTAATTGATCAAGAAAGCATGTAGCATGCATGCCTTCATCAGTCAGAGCACAGAATATGAAAATTAATCATTCATGTTGCATTTGTACATAAATTTAGTTAGACCACATTGTGTACAGTTCTGTTGCCACACTACTAGAA